CCCAGATAATGTATATGTATGTCACACAGCAAGGTCTGCTCTGTGTTGGTTAAATTACAACAATATTTTCCCTTTACTATTAATGACAACATCATCAGTTACAAAGCATTTTCAGACTGGTTTGATATGAGAACAGATACAGTAGGCAGGAGCCCGTGTTGACTTACTAACACCTGGGACAGCCTGGGTAGACGATGCTGGCAGTGACAAGCTCCTACATGGCTGAAATGCTTGGGATGATGTGCCACTGAACCCACGCTGTGCTGGCTTTAACGGATTTCACATAAAAATTTTATTAAAGGAAAGGGATATACAAGCTACGGTTCATAAGCTGCTTGTGGCCCTTCCTGCCAGCCTGTTTGGCCTGCAGCTTGTTCTCTCAAGTCCTTGTTCTCCCCTGTGGCTGCAGGTTTGATGCAGCAGGCTGGCAGCTGCAGCCCTCCTTGGACTTCCCTTTTCCCCAGGTGTTCCCACAGGCTCAGAGAAGGAACAGTCTAGGGTCAGGCTTACAGCCAGTAGAGTAAGTCCTGTGAAATCACAGGGAAGGCACTCTGGGGGACACAGACTTTACCATTATGACATTGAAAGGTGTGTTCCCCTCTCGCCTTCAAAATGCAGACACCGTGAGTGTACAGGCACTGGCAATGAGCTCTTACAACTGGAACTGTAGCCTCCTGTTTCCAGTCATTAGTGAGAGTCACAGATTTTGGATCTGATCTCCTGACAGAAATGAGTTATAGAAGTAGGAATAAAATTACACTTGATTATAAGAAGAGGGAAGGGAAACAGGGAAACCTATTTTTATCTTTTTTTTTTTTTTCCTTTTGGTCTCTTTATGATTACAATCCAACTGGTGAAATCACTGTAATCTACCAGGTAATGTTTTGCATGGGATAACCTTCAGTGAGGAGCACTGCACAGCCTGCCTTCAAAGAAAATTGGGTTTGTTTTGACAAAATTATGAACATTTGGAGATTACTCACTGAGCACATACAACAGGCCTTTTGTTAAGTCAAACTGGAAACCTAAAAACCAGTATTACTGTATGTACACAGCTGATTTCACTGCATGTTGAAGCTGTGGGGCCTCAAGAACAGGCTTAGACTGGACTGCAAAAGGCCCTGAGCATTTGACCCAATGAGAGCTGAAACCTGTGGCTCGCTGCTCTGGGAGCACTCTAATAAGGATTCAGAGCTTCACTCATCCTTCCTCACCTACTCTACATAGTCATAACATAACATTTTTTCTCTCCCAATATATAATTTGTAGCTTTCCTAATTGCACAAAGCAAGCAAAGGCAAGCCCACAGCAAGCCTAACAGTGGTGAATGTTGGCTACAGGGAAGAAGAATCCTCTTTGACACCTCAGTGGTGGGTTACAGCTGAAGAATCTCACAGAGAACATAAGTGTGACTATTGTCAAAAAGATTAACAGAGCTAGAGGAATATCTTGCTCTTTAAATCTCAGCTTTTGGGAAGATTCATGCTTGGAAGGGTAGAAAGACTAGAACAGTAGCAGAGGGAAACAGCAACAGAGCTCAGACAAAGGTCAGGGAACAGAGCAATTCACACAACTGATTCTTTGACTTCATCTGCCTCTGCTGAGGCCTCATTCTGCTCTTGAGTGATGCTTCCAACAGGCTGTGGCCAGACAGGGCAAAATGCAGTCCATACCTGTACATTTGATACTGTAGGACAGAGCAAAAAAGGCTACCCAACTGCTGCTGAAAAAAAGGGGACACAGACAACTCAAAGAAGCCCAAAAGAAGAAGAGGTTAAACAGACAAAAGTGACATGAGGAAAGGCAGTTTGTGTGGATAGTTAAGCCACTGGTCAGGGGAAACTGGATAACAGTGACAGAGACACAATTACTTTGAAGGTACTCAGGAGAAGGCAAAGTAGAGATTCTTACTACAACCCAAAGTGCTGAGAAAAGAAAAGGACTGGGGAGTTTTGGGGAGCTGTAAGAGTCCATGGAGATCATTCTTTCAGACTCTGTCATTATTGCTCACATTTTCCTTAGGAAACCTCCCACAGTAATAAACAATCAGATCAGTTATGTTCACACAGAGGGAACTAGTGTTAGCTTCCTCTCAGCACAAGTTGCCCCTTCTGTTAGCTTCCCAGCTCCCAGTCTCAGATAATGAAATACACTGTTCTTGCTACTACCAGTTTTACCAGGAGACAATTGCTGTAATTTTTTTTTTTGACCACTCTGAGTCCTCAGGGTTCACTATACTGGAAGAGATCAGTACACAAAGGCTAACATACCTGGGATGAGACAGAAGTAACTACACAGCAACTGCAGAGTCTCCTGCTCCATCTTGTATGGTTCAAATCTAAAGTTCTAGCAACCACAATACCAGTTAATACACCAATGTCACCTCTGTAAAATGCACCAGTACAGGCTGGGGGCTGACATGCTGGAAAGCAGCCCTGTGGAGAAGGACCTGGGGGTCCTGGTGAACAACAAACTGTCCATGAGCCAGCAGTGTGTCCTTGTGGCCAAGAAAGTCAATGGCATCATGGGCTGCATTTAGAAGACCACTGGCAGCAAGTTGAGGGAGATGATCCTGCTCCTCTACTCAGCCCTAGTGAGGCCACATCTGGAGTCTTGTGTCCAGTTCCGGACTCTTCAGTACAAGAGAGACATGGAGCTCCTTGAGTGGGTCCAGTGGAGGGTTACAAAGATGATTAAGGGACTGGAGTATCTCTTTTATGAGGAAAGCCTGTTCAGTCTTGAGAGGAGGTTACTGAGAGGGGACTTCATCAATGTACACAAGCATCAGAAGGAAGGGTGTCAAGAGGATAGAGCCAGGCTCTTCTCGGTGGTGTCAAGCAATAAGAGGCAATGGGCAGAAACTTATGCATAGAAAGTTCCACCTGAACATGAGGAAGAACTTCTTTACGGTGCAGGTGACTGCACACTGGAACAGAGTGCCTGGAGAGGTTGTGGAGTCTCCCTCACTGGAGATATTCCAGAACCGTCTGATTGCAAATCTGTGCTATGTATTTTAGGATGGCCCCGCTTGAGCAGGGAGGTTGGACTAGATGACACACTGTAGTCCCTTCCAACTTTACCCATTCTGTGATCCTATAAATGCATGAATGGCCTGCTGAAGAAGTCAAGAAAGACTGTTTGAGTCCAGAGGTACCTGAGCTATTCACTACCAGTTGTTGAACGTTTCCACTCTCTGAGCCTCAGCAGCTCCACAGCTTTATTTGTTCTCAGATACAGCTCTCCCTAGCAATTGCCTCCTTAGATCCTAAAGTGAATATGTTTACTGTGTTTGGTACTCCTCGTGACCAGTGATCTTCCTGGTCAATGCTGTTTCTGATAACACAGAGATTGAAAATCAGAAGGATGTCATTATGGAGCTGAGGAAAAATACTGTCACCTTTGTGTGTGTTTTGCTCCCCTGTGGAGTGCTCATTACCTTATGAGAATTTTAGAAGTCATAACCGATCATTTGGCAGCTTGCCAACTATTCTGACAAACTCAGTAAGTGAGAGACAACCTACATGGAGTTCTAAGCTTCCAACTTCACAGAATATTTGTGCTGCAAACAAACATCCACATGTGCTCAGAAAACCCAGTGACATTCCTCCAGTTCATAACTGTTGATATCACTGATAAAACTATCTTTGTTAGTGGGCAGCTCAGTAAAAGAGTGACCAGGTCCAAATGCAATGTCAAGGTGGTTGCTGATGACACAGCAAGTAATAACCTTTGGAGGCTGATTGACACACCAGATCTTGACATATGATTTCCCACCAACTTGATGTATTCTGGATGCTTTTAATAGCAGAGCAACGCTGGACCAAGTCACTAAGTCCAAACGTTCCTCATCATGATGGTGGGCAGAACCAGTTCCCTGAAACCAACTGATATTTTTTCTAAATGCGACTAGCCTTGTCCTTCTTTTCCAGTTCTCATCCTGCAGCTCCTGGCCTCTGCCTCGGAGCCCTCCCAGTCAGGCTCCTCTGATCGGTCTCCGCCTGTGACCTCTGCCAAGGGTGAGAGGGACGCGAGTGCAGAGGGCAAGTGGGGGCCGGCGTGCCCCCGGCGGTCCCGGGGAGCTCTCCCCGGTGCCGGCGGCAGCAGCACAGCCGAGGAAGAGCCGGCCGGGGCGGCTTCCCCGTGCACCGACAGCCGCAGCCCGCCAGGCGGCAGCAGCGCGTTCCCCCGCGGTGCTGCGGCCGCGCTAGCCCCGCTCCGCGGCCGCGCCGCGCTCCCCGCCGCTGCCCTGCCCTGCCCGGCTGTGAGCGCGGGCCGCTCCGCGCCATGCCCCGCTATGCCCCGCGGCTCTGCTGCCTGCCCGGGGGGCTTTTCCTGGGTGGCGGCGGGCGCCGTGCGGTGCGGGGAAGCCCGGGAGGGGTGGGCGCGGTGGGGTGTCCCGCCGACACAAAGGCGCCCGGGAAGGTGCAGCCGCGCTCGCCGCGCCCGCGCAGACAAAGCGGACGCTTCCCCCGCGGCTGCGCCGCCCCTCCGCGCCCTCCCGCGGGGGACCCCCTAGGCGAGGGGCTCCCACTGCTGGGGCTGCCTGAGCCCTACCAGGAGAAGGAGGAGGAGGAAAGCGGGCGGGGAGGCGGCTGTGCCGTGGGCAGGAGGGAAGCCGCTCGGCGAGCGTGAACCGAGCTCGGCGGCGCTGCCGCCTGCCTCGCCTCCCCGTCCCTCCCTCCCTCCTCCCCTCCTCCCCCCGCCTCCCCCCGCCGCAGACGGCTGCGAGCCCGGATGGTTTGCGAGCGGAGTTGAGGGGGCAAACTTTGAAGCCTAGATGCCTCTGGGGTTGCGCGGCAGAGCGCGGCTGCTCCTGCAGGCACCTGCCGCCGCCCTCCCCCCGGCGCTGCCGCCTTCCGCGGGGGCGGCCGGCCCCGCTGCCGCCGACCGCCGAGGCGGCGGGCGCTGCGGCCGCGGGTAGGGCGGGCGGGCGGGCGGCGGGCGCGCCCCCATGCGGGTCCCGGGCTGGGGCTCGCCGGCGGTAGGCGGGAGCCGGGCGGCGGCCGGGCGGTGCTCTCCCGCCGCCTGAGTGGGCGCGGCGCGGGACGGCGGCGCGGGGTGCCGGGAGCCATGGGCTATTGCAGTGGCCGGTGCACACTGGTGGCCGTGTGCGGCGCGCAGCTGGTGAGTAGCGGCGGGGGCGGCCCGCGGAGGAGGGGGGGAAGGAAGGCGGGCGGGAGGGAAGGAGGGGGGGTAGTGGGGCGGGTCCCCCGCTGCCCGGAGCGGGAGCCCCGCGAGCGGCGGTGGGGGGGGAGGGCAGCGCCCGCGGTTTGGGCGAGGAGGGGACGCGTGGGCTGGCATGGGGATCCGCGTGAGGCGGCAGGGTGGGAAAAAGGGGCTGTGTTACAGGTAGTTTGGCGGAGGCTCTGCCGGGGAGGCTGCGGTGGGCTCACGGCGGAGTTAATAAACTCGGGCAGTTCTCCCAAGCGCTGACTCAAGTTGGTACCTGGTTTCCTTTGGCTGGCCCTATGTAAGGCAGGGACGCGGCCGTGTCAGGGGTGATGCTCAGCTTGTAAACAGTTTGCCATACAGGTGTGTGTCTGTGTGAAGTTATCACGCCTGAGCTCTTCTGCAGATGTGTATCTTTTTTTTTTTTCCCTTTCAGACTTACTGTCCAATGTATGTTAACACTGTATCGTTATGGTGCTACAGAACTAAAACAATTATGTATTTATATTTACCTTTGGAGGAGACATGTGGCAAAACTCGTAAGCTCAGCTACCAGCAAAAGTAAACTGAGTTTAAAAAGTAGGCACTGCGATACAATAACAAAGAAACTGCCTAAAAATAGATCTGCTTAGCAAGGTGGCTAGTCTGTGCAATTGTGTTGTGGCACTTTCAAAGAGACAGGGTTTAAAGTTAAGAAACTAATGTCCCTTCCTGTAATGTATATGTGGATTATTTTATTGTTGTGAAATCAGATACATGATATATAGAGTTCCTATGGATTTGGATGCAGTAATGCACAGATAAAGACCTATCAATTGAATATGTCCCATTTCTTATTTTCATTAGACCAAATGTTGATGTGGTGGCAGAACAGGTGCTGGAGGCACCTTTGTTAAGCAGTTAACCTCATAGTAGAAAGGAAATATTTCTTGCTACTTCATCCCTCTACCTCTTACTGAATAGTTTTGCTGAGAAAGTGTAAGTCAGTATAAATAGCAACCAGCATTGTTGCCAATTCACTTCCTGCAGACAGATACTAAGAGAACTATAGAAGAAAACACCCAGTAGATTTCAGGGACCAAAATCAGTAAAACAGTACATAGGAAAGAAAGATATGTTAGCAGATCAGAAATTCAAAATGTCTGTGGTCTTTTTATAAGTTGTCATCAACCCATAATCCTTTTGTATTCTGGAAAACATTTTATTTATATATGCTGTTCTTCACCTAACTTATCTAATTCTTTGTAACTGGTTGTATCTTATCAGAAGTAATTTATTCATGCACATAGTCTAAAAAAAGAATCTTGAATAGGAGTACTGAATCTTGAGTGGAATGGTGGGAATGTAACCTTTTCCAGCAATTTGGAAACATAAAATTAGTGACTGAAGTTCTTCAAATCTATTTAAGTTTCAGAGGCATAGTTTGGTTTGGTTTTGTTTTTTTTCCTGCAAAGGGAACAAAAAATGGTTTATATTGTACGTCTTAAAGACTGAAGATTGACTTGTGCTTTTTTTTAATGCATTCAACAACCAGGAGCTTATGATGACTATAGAATGTGCTAAGATGTTAAATTATTACTGTTTTGAAAGTCTGTGAAGGAAAACATATTTGCTAATTCATGTTGACAAAAATATATGCAGAACCCATAGTAAAAACATCAACAGAAATGCCCCGTAGGAATGTATCAGCAGGTGGATGAGCAGGTAAGCTAATGTACAATTACTAGCATTACTGTAGCATTAGTGGAAGCTTTCTACAAGTGTCTCTAAAATAAAAGGTCAAATAAATATATTTTTTAAAAATAAATGCTGTTTTCTGGAGTAGCTTAAGCGAAATTTTAGCAGAATCAGAAACTGAAAGCAAACTTCAATATTTTTATTGAGCAAGAAAAGAATGTGTTAGCAGCAATGCAAACCTCTGAATCACACTTGGCCTGTGTAATGACATTTAGATAGGTTAAAAGCAGGAATAATCATTTGCGTGAGAAAAAGGAGATGGGAATGGAAAAAAATTATGCACTTTATTAAAATCACGTGTCATATACCTTTGTGTACCATATACTATCATATGGGAATAGATTGTGAGTTTTAAGTCAAGATTTAACTCCCCTTAGTAGGCCCATGGGTGATTAATCAGTTGTCACCACTTTTCAAGGTAAAAACTATTTAAAGGAACAAATGCTGTCAAGATTCATCCTGGAATTAGCAACCACATTAATGCAGATGCATATTCAAAAACAAAGGATCTAGAAGTTATCTGGCCTGAGGAGATGGGTGTGGGAAGCATTTCTACAGTGATAACCATACTTGAAAAAAATGCTTAAAAGTTATAATGTGAAGATTATGTGTGGGATACAGCTTTAAAATGGTCGTATTTGAGTAGAGAGTATACTTTTGTTTGAGGAAAAAAGTTGTTAGAAAGGTTTATTTTTTTTTTTAATGTAAGTATATTCTTCAAATACTGCAAAGCTAGGGTGTGGAGATCTAATTGGTCTTTGTAGGCACTGCACAATAAATAATACTGTGGAATACTGCAGTTCATTAGAGAGGCTGTTGCATGTTGTGTATGTATAAATGATGTAGATGTTGCAAATGGACAGAAAAGGTGGTTGTTTCAAGTACTGGTGCAGGAGTAGAGCTCCATCAGTTTGAGAGACCCTGCACAAGCAGAATTTTTTTCATAAATGCATTTTTAGTGCTTATAGTTAAGGCAACATACTGTACCATCAGTTTGTCAGAAACCTCAAGGAATGCTTCTGCTCTCAAGGGCATACTGATCATTGCTTTATCCTTATTAACATACATATACCTTCCTGTTTGTGCTCTCATTTGCACTATGGAAAACAACCTTTGACAGCTCATTTTCATCTGCTTTTATAGCCAATGAGAAGAATTAACAGTAAGTAAGAGCTAATTTTGCTCATGTCAGGAGCAAGGCATCACCTTCTGTGTGCAAATTAATTATCTCAGAATATATTTTCATTTTTTTAAGGTACTAATTTTGGTCTCTTTTGTCCTTTTTCCTTCTGAAGAGAATCCCAGGCATGGGTGCTCTGGTGGTTTTTGTTGTGTGTTAACTATCCTGGTTGCAAGGAAAGAATTCTCTGCTGTTGCATTTTGTCCTTTAAACCTCTTTATTTTTGGGTGTCTCCTTTCTATTAATAGCTTACATCAGTAACACTAATATCTTGTTGCCTTGTCTTTTTAATACCAAGAGCAGCAAAGGTGAAACTGCCAAGATTATTGTGCTTTCTGGAAGTCTTCAAGAACTCCACAGAAACCAATTTTCTAACTTTTTCCCTGCCCACTGTTGCTGCTTGGGAAAACTTGGAGCATGGCAAAACAGTTAAAAGTACTGCCTGTTTTCAGCTTAGAAGGTCTCCTCCCAAGTGCACTGATGCAAAAGGACAACATTTCATAAAGAATGTCTCCAATAATCATTGCCTTATTGTTTCTATCCATGAGGCAAAGTTTGCCATACTCTTAAGGCTGATTAGATGACAGATAATTCAGCCTTTACACTCCCTTCTCTCAGTTTCTGTCTGAATTTACTGAATTTATTTATATAATTAATTATTAATTATATAACTAATTTTGTATATTTATATAATTGATTTTGCCTGTTCTTTTTCTTTTCTTCTTTTTTTTTTTTTCTAAGTAAATTGTAACTCAGATATTCCAACTGAGTATTAAAAACTATGTAAAATTTCTAAACAAGGTGCATATATCCAAAAGGTCAGTTAGTGATTCTGGGGTACTCAATCTGATGCTCTAAACCAAGCATTTATTATAATGGGCACATACCCCCAGTTTCTGAAAGCAGGTGTCTTTTGCAGACACCAATGTGTGGCAATTGCATTTTCTCCTTTCCCTTGCTGACAGCTCACAGTTGGGGCCATAAGCACACTGGCACACAAACCTGGTGGTGTTTCTTCATGAACTCATCCTGTTACAATTCTGGCTGAAGCCACTGTCCAGGTCTGTCATATTGGCCAAAAAGAATGGAATAGGCACCCAGATTTGGTTGCTTTTGCTAACACAGGCTCAATCTTTTTTTTTTTTTTTTTTTTTTTTACTTTGAGCTAATGAAAAAAATGATCAAAATGGTTTGTATAGAATATCCTTGTTCTGTGCTCTTACGCGAGTGAACAATACTGATTAAGAGAAAATTCAAATACTTTGTTTCAAAAACTGTATCAGCTGAAGTAATTTCTGTACTTAACTGTGATACAAATGTCCATAAACACGTATTTAACTGCCTATTGGACATGAAGATACCTATGTGATCTGAGTAGGTAAAGTGGTGGAACTACTCAAACCCAGGAAATTAATTACATAAAAGTTGGGAAGCAGTTTCTATCATATGTCTTTTGTGACAACAAATGTCAGGACAGATGCCCATAATCTATATTGCACACTTGATATATGACTGAAGAGTGTCTTGTTCTTTTCCAGTTCTCGCTTGCATTATTAAACATTGGTATATGTAACCACAGAGAACAGCTACTGAGAAAAAATTTGTCTTAGTGATCAGTCCTGTAAAGTTTTGGGTTGCCTTTTTTAAACATGAATAGTAAACATTCTTATGCTTGTTCACACAGTTCAGGAGCAGTGATCATCACAAGTTCTAGTCTATATCACAGGTCTAGCTACCCGGTTTATCTCAGTTTAATACTATGAATATCCTTTCTTGAGGAAAACCTCATGTTTTAACGGTTTGCAGGTTGAATTGTCTCTGGACTTTCAGAGAGTGAAGTTTGCTGGATTAGAGCTCAAGTCCCACTAAGTGCAAAGCAAAGGCATTCACAGCAGATACTCCCTGGGATTAGCTACTCTGAAGCATTATGCAGTGAAGAGCATATTTTGTTAGTGTAGGGTCTTACACCATGCATAGCATCTGGGTACTTTCCTATAGCACACCACACCACATAACCAGTGGACTTAGCATGTCTGGC